TTGGAGGACACCAAGAGAGTGCTGAACGCACGAAGTGGATCGTCGATCCTACGAAATCCCTTGGATCTGTACTATTCTTTGGTAAAGAAATTTCAAGACGTCGTCTCTAAAGACTCGCATTTGGTCCTACCTCCAGACCGAGGTGTACGTCATGAGATCGACCTGTTTTGGGAACCAAATACTGTGTAACACGCCATTGGCCCCTGCAGTGCGACGTCACTGACACATTTTTCCGTGCAAAGCACGACGCAAGGATGGTACGTGAGAGCAAGTCTTCCCATTCGTCATCCACGTTTTGTGTTCGAAAGCCGAACGGCAAGTGGCGTATGGCCATTACCAACTGCTCATGAGAGCGAGTGACATTTCGCTGACAGCGGTGAGTACTTCGAGCGGGATGCGATGAGGGTGGCTGGTGTTGCCCCAAGGGCTGTCTATTCCACTAGCAACATTTTATCGTCTTGTGACCATTTGTTCAGACCCCATCGGGCATATGCACAGACATACTTCGACGTCATATTCGTCCAAGTCGTGCGGGGCACGGGGAAGAGATGTGAAAACCCACATCGTCCGTTTCATAGCGGTGCTCAAGTGCATACGAATAAGCCGTATGCCAACGCCGATAAGTGCATAAATCCTTTTTTATGGTGCTTCATTGGGAAGCGTGGCCTTCGAGCAAATCCCGCTAAGGTCAAGATCACTGTGGACTGGCCGGTTGCAAAGAATCAAAAGGACTTGCGCAAGTGGCTTGGCCTCGCCAGCTACTTGCACAAGTATAGCGCGCACGGCCACTATCGAATCATCTTAGAAAGGAAAATGAACGGTGTTGGGACACCAAGCATCGGGAGTCTTTTGACAGAGTTAAAGACAGTCTTCTTTATCCACCAATACTGGCGTTGCCAGACCCCGATCGTCCTTTTAGTGTCATCTGTAACGCTTTAAACTTTGCCATCGGCTGTGCACTGCTGTAAGCAGACGCCGAGGGGTGATATCGGGTGATTGCTTTCGAATTTTGCCAGATTTAGAGATGAACTATCCGGTCCACGACAAGATATTACTTCCGAGGAGGTAATCAATTCTCAAGTTCAGGGTGCACCTGCTTGGCTCAAAGCCATTTGTGGTCTACACAGCTCATGCATCATTACGCACTGCGACTCAGTCGCCTCGCTCTCGCGGAGGATGGCCAGGTGGCTCTCCTTCACCAAATATAATTGTGGGGTGAAGTACAAGCCAAGAAAGCAGAATGCTTTGACTGATGCGTTGTCACGCAGACCGGAGTATGAGCTTTCTCGTGTCACGGCGATGACGTCGTCAATGACAGATTTGATCCGCACCACATACGTGGGTGAAAGTATGTGTGAGGCGCTGCTACAGGCCCTCAGGAGCAAGAAGTCTGGAAACTTGAACAAGAAATTGATTGCGCGATTGCGCGCGTGGTTACACCGATATTTGTTGAATAATGGTTTGCTACTAATACGACGGATACGCCACGATCGCGGTTTCTCACGATGAGGATTTATAAAATCGTATCGCCTATGAGGAGTTGGCAGTTCATGAGTATGGACTCTATGTTTGGCCTGCCGAACGCCTCGACGGGCAACACGGAGTGGTGGTCTTTGTGGGCCATTTGAGCAAGATGTCTCATCTTGCGGCAGTGCCGGACACCATCGACGGTGTGGGTACAGTGACGCTGTTTGTCGATCGTGTCTTTCGACAACATGGACTCCCGGAGTCAAGTGGTTAAACAGGGACCCGAGCTTTACTTGGCATATTGGTCTGCAATCTTCAGGGTGCTAAGCGCCAAGTTGACTATGTCAACAACGGATCATCCGCAGACCGATGGTCAAACTGAGCCCGTGAACTGCGTCGTTGAAGATGTTACTTGCAGCGTCTGCGCTGAGACGCCGAAGCGCGCCATGCTGCCACTCATAGAGAATGTTCTGAACACTGCAGCATTCATCTACCGGCTATACACCGTTCTACGTGAAGGGGCTTATCAAATCTCGCGTCCCGCTGACGCCGCCATCCCATGGCTCAGGGCTTGGTGGGGTAAAATTGCCGAATGGTTAGCTGATGTCAGCCCCCTTACTGTCCGTAAAGAAATTGATAACTACATGTCTACTAGACTGAGCGTCCTACAACACGTTCGCGATGCGATGGTTGAAAGCCAAGACATGCAAAAAGAATATGCAGATGGAAGAAGCAGAAGAAATTTGCAAAACTTTGAGGACGGAGACTTGGTTTCATCTAATGACCAAAACCTTCCTACACATGCAGTCTCTGCTGTCTTTAAGACATAGCTCCGTCCACGGTTTATTGGACCTTTGGAGGCCGTTGCCAAGCGAGGCTTGCGTATACG